TGTGGCGGATAAAAATCAGGAGGACACCTCGGCTGGGAAGGTCCTTCCTGAGGACTGAGGGGTCCCCGTCCCACACCAGGTGCCCCGCTCAGGGTTCCAGTGCCAGGAAGAGAATCCCCATAACTTCTGGCTGGAAAAACCAGCGGGAACTGAGGCTCAGGGAGGCTGAGGCAGCTGGAGCCCCAGGCAGCTCCTTAAAGGGCCCGCGCACAGACTTACTTGGACCCACTCCCTCCAGGCTCCAGCACTGAGGGGAGGCAGCTTGAAAGGCACCAGAGACAGACAGGGAAGAACTGAGTTGTTTGGCATCGGGGCGAAGACTGGAGAGGCAGCTTTCTCCTGGACAAACGTGCTGTCAGAGGCCTTTGTTCCTTTGGTGAGCCCTTCCCTGGGGCGGGAGACAGCTGCCATATCTGGGACTCCAGCAACCTGGCTCTCACTGGTAGCCCCGCCCTGCTGACTCCCTGAGGCCCCGCCCCGCCCAACTTTTGGGCCCACCCAAGCTGTTTCCAGTGGCTTTACCATAGGATTGGCCTGTTTTGGCTCCTGCTTCATTCAGCTTTTCCTAAATTCTCTCAAACAAGCAGCATCTGGCCACAGCGAGCCCCATATCTCTTGTTAAGTGGCCCCAGGCCTGGCACTAGAAGCAATCAGTCTTGGTTCACAGCTTGGCTCCTCACCTGTGTACCTCCAAGCCCAACACAAGCAGCAGCCATCTGCAGATCACTTTGTAGCTTATGCTGGGTGGCCCTGGGTAGAACACAGGCAGTGGCTGACCTTGCCCCAGAGCCAGCACACCCAGTGAACAGCTTCAGACCATGCCAAAGCACCACTACCCAACCACCTCCACAAGTGACACACTCAAGAATGGACTCAATGGGTACCAGAGCCCTGCTGAAGTAAGTCTTGCTCTGTGTGGTGGGCCCTGCACAGCTGATCATCCAAGGTAGTCAGAGGTCATAGTGGGCACATCCAGTCCTTGATCAACCTGAGTAAACCCTCCCACTGATGTGCCAACAGCAATCAAGACTCAATTACAACAGAAAGGTGTAAAGTCCACACAAGGGCCCAGGTTGGTGATCAGGGAAGCTGTGCCACTGGACCCTATAGGACACCTACCACAACAGGCCATCTTAGGAAGCCTAGGAGACATAGCAACTCTACCCAATACATAGAAACAAACACAGGCAGGCAGCCAAAATGAGGAGACAAAGGAACATGTACCAAATGAAAGAACAGAACAAAATCCCAGGAAAAGAACGAAATGAAGTGGAGATAAGCAATCTAACAAATGCAGAGTTCAGAACATTGCTTATAAGGATGCTCAATGAACTTAGTGAGGGCCTCAAGAGCATAATTAATAAAGGACCAGTCAGAAATGAAGGATGCACTAACTGAATTAAAGAATAATTTACAGGAAAACAATAGTAGAGTAGGTGAAGCCAAGAAGCAAACCATCAATTTGGAATATAAGGAAGCAAAAAACACCCAATCAGAACAGCAAAATGAAAAATAAAAATAAAAAAAATAAGGCTAGTATAAAGAGCCTGTGGGACAACTTCAAGCATACGAACATTCGCATCCCGGGAGTGACAGAAAGCAGCAAGAGAAAAGCAGTTCGTTAACTACAACAAAGCTCCCATAAGACTGTCAGCTGATTTCTCAAAAGAAACTTGACAGGCCAGGAGGGAGTGGCAAGAAATATTTAAAGTGATGAAAAGCAAGGACCTACAACCAAGATTACTCTATCCTGCAAAACTATCATTTAGAATCGATGGCCATATAAAGAGTTTCCCAGACTAGAAAAAGCTAAAGGAGTTCATCACCACCAAACCAGTATTACATGAAATGTTGACAGGTCTTCTTGAAGAAGAAGATAAAAAAATATGAACAATAAAATGTCAATTAATACATATCTACCAACAGTTGAATCTACAAGCAGAATGCAAACAGACTCATAGACACAGAGAACTTTTTGTTGGTTGCCAGATGGGAGGGGAGTTGGGTGAAAAAGATGAAGGGATTAAGAAGTACAAATTGGCTGTTAGATTAATGAACCTCAAAGGCAAGGGAGGAGGTGAGGTGGGAAGAGAGAAACCAAAGAACTTATATGCATATATACATAACCAATAGACACAGACAATAGTGTAGGGAAAGCAAAAGGGGGGCGGGATTGAGAAGGAGGGGGTCAAGATGGGGAAAAAGAGGGATATCTGTGATACATTCAACACATGTAAGTTCTAAAGATAAGTTTTAAAAAAAGAGCTTGATAAATGATCGTTGAGAAACAACCTCACTCTCTGGATGAAAACAACTGTATTCAAAGAAATCAAATTTCACATAATTCTTTTTTTTTTTTTTTTAATCCTCACCCGAGGACACCTTTCCATTTTCTGTACAGATAGAGTAGGAGGGAGAGGAAGAGAGAGAGAGAGAGAGAAACATCGACGTGAAAGGGACACATCGAGTGGCTGCCACCCGCACAACCAACCAGGGCCGGAGACAAACTGCAACCGAGGTACATGCCCTTAGCGGGAACCGAACCCGGGTCTCTCCGGACCGCAGGCTGATGCTCTAACCGCTGAGCCAAACTGGCCAGGGCTCACATAATTCTTAATGGAACTGAACTAAAAATGAAACTCTGATGTCAATTAAACCCAGGCCTATGTAATTTTTCCCCCTAATACCAAGATTCTTTAATAGATTGTTAACACAACCAGATATAGATATAGATATAGATATAGATATAGATATAGATATAGATATAGATATAGATATATAGATATAGATATAGAAATGCTATTCTTGTATACTAACAATACCAATTAGAAAATTATGGTCTATATGTTAAATTTTGATAAAAATCCCAAGAGGCATTTTAGAGAAACTTTATAGCTTATCCTAAAAGTCGTAAGAGTAAAGGTCAAAAAATGGCCAAGACAATTTCTGTCCTTTTGAGACACTCAGAAGAAAGAAGGAAACTATTAAGGGGAGGGCAAAACCCTTAACATGGGTGCTTATAAACTAGCAGTCTTTGATGACAACTCTCAAACCAGCTACCTAAGAGTATGAATGAATTGTAGCAATACCTGCTGATTAATGTCTGTTTTAGCTCTTTCTCTTAATGACCCAAGACAGTCAAAAAGCAGTATTTTGTATAGCTATTTCCTGATATATTTGCCAAATGAAAGGACTCACGCAGAGCAAGTTAGTAGCTGATAGAAAAGTGAAGATATTTAGTACATGTTGCCAATCAGGGGCCTGAGAATGAAATTTGACTTGCAGATATATTTTGTGGAGTCTCACAATTTTGACTGGCATTGTGTCAGAGAAAGTTTGGAAATGTCAACATTAAAAAGGCTGAAGTCCTGGCTAGTTTGGTTCAGTGGTTAGAGTGTTGACCTGCAGACCAGGGAGTCCTGGGTTCGGTTCCCACTAAGGACACGTATCTCGGCTGCAGTTTGTCCCGGGTCCTGTGGGTGGCAACCAGCTGATGTGTCTCTTTTGCATCAGTGTTTCTCTCGGTCTCTTTCTCCCTCTGTCCCTCCAGTTCTGTCTGAAGATAAGTGCAAAAATGTCCTTGGGTGAGGATAAAAAATAATAGTAATAATAAAAAGGCTGGAGATTTCATATGAAGACTGTTGGTTGAAGCCAGATTGCGGCTTCCTTCTTTAGGAGAACTTTGTGTCTGCTATGACCACGCCCTCTTCATGACCTTCTCGGGCTCCCCTTTACAATGCCGGACTGGTCCCTCCAGCCATTTGGGTTTGTGACCCCCGATTTAGATAAAGCCAAAAGATGAGGGGGGATCCTTTCGTGGTCTAGATTAGGACCCTTAGGTCTTGAAGAAAGTCAATGGAAAGAAAGCTAGCTCAGCAACAGGTTAAATGTTCTTCTCTTAATAAAGAAATTTTTTGTAGACCACATGTTAGAATAATAATCTTATACTTTGTTTCGAAATGCATTGTAATGAAATGGACTTTCATTTCAATAACAATAGATATACTAAACCACTCTGGTAGCTACTAAAACTCTTGTGAAAGATGATTCACTTTTCTATGGAAATAGCAGCAGCAACTACTAACTGTCTACCAAACTTTGCAAAAAAAAAAAAGATTACAACTCATGGTGGATATTAGAATACTGCATCATAAAGCAATAAAAACTCCAAGGGTCTTGCTTGCTATTACCACTATCCACAAATTTGGAACAAAGTGCAAGGAAAGACACATGTGCATTTTGGTTTTTCCTCTTTTTAAAAATTTTTATTTATTGATATGAGAGAGAGAGAGAGAGAGAGAGAGAGAGAGAGAGAGAGAGAGAGATTTGTTGTTCCATTTATTTATGCATTCATTGGTTGATTTTTGCATGTATGTGTTCTGACCAGGGATTGAACCTGCAACCTTGGCTTATCCGGACAACACTCTAACGAACTGTACTACTCAGTCAGGGCTATGAGTGTATTTTGGAAAGCTAACAATGACACAGGATGCCACCATTTTGCAACATTTATTTCTTGGTTCAACAATGGAGAAAAAGACCCTCAGCAAGACAAACTGAATGCGCACAGTGAGAGGGGAACCTTGGGGAAAGGGCAGGACACGGCCACAGGACACGGCCACCGGCCACCGCGAAGAGCTTGCCGGCTCCCTCTAGCCAGCGCTGGAAGTTGACCGTCGTTTGGTTGTTCCAGATCATTTCCACTGGCATTTGCCTGGTCTCTGCTGGTTATTGTGTGTCTCATCTCGAGGTGTTTGAATCCTTCAGTGGAAGGCAATACCTTAGTGACCCCTGCAATCAGCTGGTAAATTTGAGTTGACCTAAAAAGTGCATCATATGCATATACTAATATGCATCATTGCCATCATCTGACTATGCACCCCTGGACCACAGCTACAGAAGAAAGAGCTTGATTCTCTTTCCTGAGTCAGAAAAATGACCTGCCCCCTCAAAAAAAAAAAAACCCAAAACAGGACAAAAGAAAACAATAGAACGCAAAGTTGATTTGAGTATTTTATTTATAAATGTACATTTACTATAAAAGCTGTTGTGTTTTAGACAACTTTTTATTTATTTTTTTACTATTTCTCAGAGGCATTTTAGAATAAATATTTTCAATGAAGGTTAGTGTAACTGATATAGAACATTGGCCCACCCAGAACAGTAACATCTTTTGGACGGACTCACACATGAGGTGGATCGTTTCAGTTTGTTAAGTCTTACACTGTGTATAGATAACTATAATATGTATTGCATTAATAACACTACATAGAAAGAATGAGGAGATGTCATGAAAGTTTGCTAGTGAAAAACAGAGTTACCCATGTTTTCTTAAGAAAGAGAAGGGACCAGCTTTTGGAGTATGAGAAAAAAAAATCAGATATACTTCCTTAGGAACAATAAATCACTCACTTGCCTCATCTGTTATTTTAAGCAAACACATTTACATTGTAGCTCAACAGAGCAGAGCATTTTTTTTTTCCTGGGATCTCAAAGATTATTTGAAAAGAAATAGATCATACTCATTATGCTGCATTGGGAAAAACAAGATCTAGTCTGCCTGAGCTGCCATGTAACAGACTCCAAATGAAATATAAATCAAATATAAATAGAAACAGTTGGCAATTAGAATTTAGAAAATGTTGGAGATTATTCTCTGCTGGTGACTATTGTTCATTATGGAAAAGCACATCTCGCAGCTGGAGAATGGGCTTTATTTTTCTTGACTCGATTCTAGCTTCAATACATGTACAATGAGTCTCACTAAGAAATATGTATAAATGGGTTTGTGAAACCAGAAGAGAATGTGCAATATTCATATTCATAGAATCCCTACATAATGGATGGAGTTCCACATGTAAAAAGTATTATATAAAAATCGGTTATGAATGATCATATTGTACATGTTTTGCGCATTATTTCTGGTAAAGTACTCTGCGAACATCATGCAAAGTGTAAACATCACATTATCAAAATATTTACTAAAACATGCAGGTGGTTAATCAAAATATTGAACTTAATCTGTACATTTTCAAAACGTTTTCTTTTGAATGTTCTCTATTTTTCTTTTTAAAATTTTTTATTCCTGTAAAACAGCAAACCCTTCCATGAGAAGTCTTGGGAACTTGGAAGTGACTTCATCTCTCTTCGATGTACTGCATCCATAATTCATCACTGTGTGCAATAGCTTTGCATTTTCTAAGGCACAATTTTTAATGATATGATGTGTAAATTTCAATCTAACAACAGCTCATCCAGATGGCAAAATGGTCAAAATGCTTCCAGTGGCCGAGGAAATTTCTGCACTTACATGGAACCCGCATGCAGAGAACCGTCTAGCATGTAAATAAATAACTGCTAGTCATACTCAGTAAGACAGGAAAAACATTATTGCTTACATAACAGAGTAACATCTACTTGATCTCCTTTTATGACTACATTAACCTATTAGGAGGATATCCATAGTCTACATTCACAAAATGTCATCTTCACTTATTTGCCATCCTTTTAAGGCAGAATAAATAGTCCCCCTTTCCCCAGTCTTAAAGAAAACAGCCTGGAGATTTAAAACGTGATGCTTTTTAGTAACTGGATGCCTTTCTTGGCCAGCTGAAACTCACCACACAGGGCAAAAAATAACCAGCTCTCCACCAGAGTTCCTCTCTGAAGGTCTCCATGAGCCAGGGCCAGAATTCTGACAGTAAAGAGTCGGTGATGTAGGAGAATGAGGACCAGCAGATGTCCATTAGGGTGGGTAGCGTGTATGTGACATGTAGGTTCTTGCTGGTCACACACCAGTGGTTTATCACATCACATGTCATTTGGATTCTATGAGGATGAACTTAATGCTTTAGACACCTGTGTTTCAGGCCCCTAAGGAGAACTCGCAGGCAAGGCTGAGCAGTGGTCTCACTTAACTGAAGGACCCATCTTGATGCAAGTTTCTGTGTGCCTTATACCAAGTCTTCATTGAATGTAGAGTCTGAAGAGAAGCAAGCAACAGAGCCCTCGTGGCTAGATGGGCCTGCCACTCTTCTGAAGATCAAACTTCCTCACATATTTTGGTAATAACTTTGGAAATGATGGCTACAATATTTCCCTACCCTTGGGCAATGTCCAGAGTGTAAGTCTAGCTGATACTGCAAGGGTTGTCTTTATCTGATGGACCAGACTCTATCAATGATACAACCTTCAAAGGATACAAAACCTAGTATTAACGGTGCAATAATTTATGACTTCTACCTCCAAAGGTAAGTAACACAAATGTTTCAGGATTACAGTATACATTATCCAACTAGTGTCTCTGCATTAAAAACAAGTTATAGCTCAGAGCCATATGCTGTGGTGTTTAGTTTCTGAAATGCATTAATTGTAAGCTCCGTCTTTAAAGACCACACATCTCCAATTGGCATGTCTTGCACTTTCTGCAGCTCAGTTTTGTAAACACAAAGTATTTAATTTCTAGAAATACTAAAACAAACAGGTTTATTGAATCATCTGTATCTCATTAACTCCCCAAAGAAGAGAATAACACATTTTAAGCCATAAGTCTGTTTGATCATGCTAAGACCTTCTTTGAACTAGTCAGAATCATTGCCATTCAATATTCTTTTGTATATACTGTGCAAATGCAAAAGAAGAAGAAGAAAAAAAAAAACCAGGGAAAACACAAACACTGTGCTATAAAAGAACAGATACCACCTTGTAGAAGAGCCTTTCAGAAAGTAGATGAATGCTGAGAAGCCCCTGAACGTGGGGTTCTGTTGAATGACTGACTGCCAGGGGACACTCTCCAGAAATAAATGGTGAGTGATCTGGGATCTTGAAAACCATGTCACAATGTTGTGGGTTGGCCAGCACCTGTGATAAAGAAATCAGAGCAACATTTGGTTGTGTAGTCAATGCTTCTTGCTTCAGATATTTAAAAATTCCCCAAATTAGCTATGACCTCTGCCAGGCTTTTTCCTCGAGGGAGGAGAACCGTTCCCCCGCCCCCCCAAAGTGGCCCCTGGAGCAGCAGTACTGGCATTACCTGGGCCTGTTACGAATGCAGCTTTTGAGCCCCAGCCCAGAACTTAACAAGGAGCCCAAGTAATTCATATGCCTTGTAGAATTTGGTTTGAAATCCTCTGAATTTCACTCTACACCAAATGATCCCCATCAACTTTTCTACCTTGTCTTCTTGGCAAAAAAAACAAGAAAATTTTCTCTCTTCTCTCAGTTTCTTTAGGTTTTGGTTTCTCTCAGAATAAATACATTGCAACAGGAGGAATTTGACATATGATCTAGAAACAGGATTGCTAGATTCGGACTTAAATATACAGATCACCCAGTAAAATTTGGATTTCAGAGAAACAAACACAATTTCTAGCATAAGTATATTTCCTATATGATATTTGGGATACAGTACTGCTAAATCCTGAACATGCAATATTTGAAATGTACACATACAAAAGAAATTCATTGTTTATCTGAAATTCAAACTCAAGAGGGCAAAAAAGCATTTAACTGGGCATCTTGTACTTTATCTGGTAATCCAACTAGGAAGGATGATTTGGTTCCATATTTCCTGCTGAAACCTTCACCAAGTTTCTTCTTCGTTTGAGGCACGGGAGTTGTGACAAGGCAACTGCAACAAGGCAACAACGGAAACCCCCCGGGACTTTGCGTTAAGTACATTTCATGCGCGTGAATGATGGAACAGCCACAAAGACACCGGCACCGGCACCCGGGCACAAACGGCACAAGTAAACATGTGTGGCGAGACGCGTGACAGGTCGTTTGTCTCGCAGTTACCATTGCCATTTACATACAAACTTAAAACTCTTTACATTGCTTTTAGGAATTGCATTTTAATATGCTGTTATGCTATTTTCCCTCTCCAAGAGAAAAATTTCATTTAAATGTGACTAGTTACTTGAAGAAAATAGGATTATATATTCAGGTTTTATTATTCCATACAATGAAATTATTTTGTTTCACTTAGAATGCCTATGATGTGAACCACCCCTCCTATCTATCTATCTCCCCTCTTCTCAACTCAGATCAAAATCAAATAAAGAAGCAAGAAAAATGGTTTTTAGATATTTCTTTCCATTCTGACTCTTTTACTGCATCTGGGAGTGTAGTCAATTCATGTATTTACATTTCTCTAGCTCAATGTTATATCCTCTGCACCAACTCACTCCTAATACATCTTTTTTTTTTTTTTTCTTATGACACCAAGAAAAAAATGAGCAGTATTCTCAGATGTGCTGGTCATTCTCTCTATGTGTTGACTTAAAGTTTAGCCTAAAATGATATTAACATTTATCTGGAAAACTAAACATGAGAGAAGAGTCAGGAAAATTTGGAAAAAGTAATTGGAGTTAAGGTGGCCACTGTGGCTCAATTTTAAAACATATTATGAAGCTATAATAATTTAAATTGTTTGACATGGAATAAATAGTAAATGGGTTACTAAACATAAACTATCCAGAAATAGACCCAAATATATATGAGAATTTAGGTTATGAGAAAGCTGGCATTTCAAATTAGTGAGGAACAGAGAGTAGTCATTAGTTATATGCACACAATGGGCTAACTGGGGGTGTGGGCAGCTGGATATCTATCTCATTTCTTACCCCAAAATACATTCCTGATGCCACATATTTACATGTGAAAAAGAAAACAAAGACAATTCTAGGAGAAATCTCAGCTAAATTTATGACCTTGGAGTAGTAAGAGTTTTTCTAAGTAGGATGGAAAACAAAGAATGGAAAAAAAAAGAGATATGTTTAATTACCTAAATAAAAGTCTTTTCTATGAAAAAAAATCACAAAGTAGAAAGACAAATGATAATTGCCACAAGCCACAAATATAAAAGAAAAGGATAAAAGGAAATTTCTTTAATTTACAAAAACTCATATAAATCAAGTGCCAGTAGAACAATGAGCAAAGGATAAAGCAGCACATTTTTTAAATAGAAAAAGAAATATAAGTGGTGAATAAACAGATGAAAAGATGTTCAAACTCATAATTAAAGCCGTAGGATCAAAGCAGGGAGCCCCCCCCCCCCCCCAGCAGAGCAGAAATGGGAGGAGTCTGCCCACATCCAGCGCTGACACAGGGAGACGCTGCGCTCCGCAGGGCGAAGGCGCTTCTCTGGGGCAAGTGGTCTGAGCTGCAAGCACACGCCTTCTCATCACGGTCCCACTGCTCACACCCACTCCGTGGAAATGCTTTCAAATGATCATCAGGACATAGGTGCAGGATGTTCACTGGAGCATTTAAAAAATATTAGAAAACTGGAGCCCGGCTGCTGTGGCTCAGTGGTTGAGCTTCGACCCATGCACCAGGAGGTCGCCGGTTCCATTCCCGGTCAGGACACATGCCCAGGTTGTGGGCCAAATCCCAGTGGGGGGCATGCAGGAGGCGGCCAATCGATGTTCTCTCTCATCGATGTTTCTATCCTCTCTCTCCCTTCCTCTCTCTCTAAAATCAATAAAGAAAAAAAAATGAAAAAGAAAAACTGGAAACAACTGAGGTTCTCATTCGTGAAGATTTAGTTGTAAATGATGGTAAACTCATACAATGGGATTGTATGCTATCAAAAAGCCATTGAAAAGAACGAGGAAGACCATGTTACATGGCAAAATTGCCAAGATATATCATTAAGTTAAAAACAACAGCAACAAAAACTAAGTACAGAACATTTGTGAACTAAAAACCAACACATGCATTTGTGTATTTGTGTGTGTGTGTGTGTGTGTGTGTACACTTATACAAACATACATTCTGTCCCTCTCTCCAAGCAATGATTAGAAATTGATTACAGTGGTTAACTTGGTAATTTTTATTATACTTTTAATCTGGCATTTTTCTGAATATCCAATTTTTCTAGCCTTATACCACAAAAACTTTTACTTATGTGTTCATTTGAATATTGATAGAGGTAATCTCGGCAGAGGATAATAAGACTCTTTGCTTTCTTCTTAGTATCTTAGTATTCTAAAAAACACAAATCCTAGTAAAGTATTGCATTAAAACATAAAATAAACAAAGAAAATAATCCTATCTTCAGTCTATTTCCAAATCACTTTCATATTTTTCATCTTATGAGACTGTTACTGAAACTCCACAGTTTTTGTCTTTAGATTTGGAATTAAAGGTGGTTAATGCCCCTTAGGGTCCCGATACATAGGAAAAAAATTCCTGGCCTAGATCCAGAAAGCTAATTTCCAAAAGAATGACAATGAATCATCCAACTTCTCAGTTAAAATAAAAGTGTGGATGAAAGCAGGTTACTGTCACCCAGAGTGGGTTCATGTTTGCTCTCTGCTGCCATCCTTCAAGCACTTCAGATTATGAAAGAAATTCAGATTTACAGCCTTTTCAAACCTGGCCCAATGGTCCTGCAGCCTAACAGTGCCCTCTTCTGGTTCCGTGATGCACTCAACTGGCCCGAGAAAAAGTATAATTTATAGAAGATAGAAAAAATCACTTTGAAAATGGGAAAAAAAAGGGTTTAGTTTTCATTTCTAATGTATGTATAAAGATAAAAAATTCAGTTAAAATATACTTATATAGTATACATGTATTTAGGTGTTTGTGTATGCATGGTACATATATGGTATACTATTTATATATTGTATATATTTAATATATAGTATAAAAATCAATATCAATATTACATGCTTATTCTATGTGTGTATATACATATAATATGTATACATGGTATAAATATATGTAATATATAACATACATGTTACATGTGTATATTATATAGAATACCTAGTATAAATATATAACATATAAGTATAAATATATAATATAAAAATACAATACATAATATAAACAGTTCAGTTTGATGGTATCAACTGTGAGTTGGAACTGTTCTGACCTCAAGTCAAATGTTTATCATAGGTCAAAATCACCTGTGTTTGATTAAATTTTTATTTCACCTAATTGTACTAAAAATTCATGTATTTCTCAGAATATACTAAATCTATAGCTATAAAAGGACTTATTTCAATATTTTGCTCTTGAAGTCTATAGTCTTGCACATTTAGAGATCCATGTTTAAAAAGCTGTAAAAATGTCACTTCAGTTACTTGGAGAAATAGTAAAACGTTCTTGAATTTCAAATACTATCTCTTCATTCCATTTATTTTTTAAAGAAAGCATTTCTGCCTGACAAATCTGCATAGAAGAGTCTGGTATTGTATCCACCAGCAGGGCTATTTATGATGGAGAGAGAGGCTGGATTCAGAGGCCACTGGCTAATTTCTAAACAGCAGCTGGGCAACAGCGCCCCCTGGTGCCCCCCTAACCAACATGAACCTCCTGTGGTAGGAAACCTGGATACAAGATCCCAGGGCAGGCTGCTCCAGGGAGCTTCAGGGCAGCACATATTTGTTAAGCTCTGATTGTGTGCTAGAGTATTTTAGACAGGGCCAGGGATTCACAAAGAGGCAGAACCCATCATTGGGTCCCTCAAAGAACTTGAAGTTTAGTTCGGAACAACAACACATTATGTCATGAAACTCTTGAATGTAGGGCATAAAGACATTGAGGAGCTGGTGCTTGATTTGATGAACAATGAAAAGCCATTCTTCACCCCCACCCCACCCCCACCCCCCGATAGTGCCGGTCTTCTAAAGATATGCCTCAGCAAGGAACAGTGTCTCATCGACCTCACGTCTGCCTTCCATCTCACCAGAATCTCTATGGTGAGCTCCGGTGAGGTCTCAAACTTGGCCGTTTTTATCTGCTGGCGTATTAATGCACTTCTGGATAAAAATAATTTGGCCACATCCAAGCAGTAACTTCCAATAAGAAACAAGTGGTAGATAAGGAGTTGTTTCATTATCGCTTCCTTTACCTAGATGCTAATACATCTTTCCCTTAGGGTAGGGACACTGATGGGTAGCATCAACTGACAGGCAGAAATAATCAAATTCCTCAATGGGTCCTATGAAAGGCATGTGATCGTACTCACTCATCTCAAGGTAGTTCACTCCAGTACTTACTTCTGGATCGCATGTAGCAATCATTACAGTTCAGAAGACCGTTTCGAATCCTAACATCCGTCCCACTCACTGCATCTCCGAGCTGTCCTTTACAGATTCCACACTGTGGGTCGAAAGAACGGAGTCATCAGGTGCATGAGGAATCTCTCTATGATGCTTCGTCACCGTTTACACGAATAGTGCGATAGTCGCTTACATACCTCCACCTTTGCGGAGCATCTGCTATGGGTCAGATGCTGCACGAAGAACTGACTGACAGCAACAATACACTTTTAGCATTTTATGATAACTCCTTGAATTTTACAGAGATGGACACTGGTCAGAAAGCTTAGCTGACTTGTCCAAGGTTGTAAAATTGGTAGGTGTTGGGTTAATCCCAAAGCCTATGCTGTTAACCTCTATCACATGCCATTTCTCAATCAAGATGAAGAACCATTTTATTTATTTATCTTTACTGGTGTCAGAGAGAGAGAGGAAGAGAGAGGGAGAGAGAGATAGAAACATGGATGAGAGAGAACATCGATTGGCTGCCTCCTTCATGCTCCCCACTGGGGATTTGGCCCACAACTTGGGCATGTGCCCTGACCAGAAATTGAACTGGTGACCTCTTGGTGCATGGGTAGATGCTCAACCACCAAGCCACACTGTCTGGGCAGTTATTTTTATTTTTTAAATTAAATTTATTGGGGTTACACTGGCTAATAAAATTATATAGGTTTCAAGTTACAATTCTAGAATACATCATCTGTGTATTGCATTGTGTATTTACCACCCAAAATGAAATCTCCTTTTGCCACCATATATCTGATCTAAGAACCATTTTAAACAGATTAAATGCTAGTGATTTTACACAAACACATAGCCAACAGATATCAACGAGAACCTGCCTGTGAATAGTCACTAAATGCTGGCCTGATTGGTGTGGCTCAGTTGGTTGGAGTGTCGTCTCATACACCAAAAAGTTGTAGGTTCGGTTCCTAGTCAGGGCACATACCTAGGTTATAGGTTCAGTCCCTGGTTGGGGCACGTGTGAGAGACAACCAACTGATGTTACTCTTTCTCCTTCCTTCTCTTTAAAATCAGTAGATGTATCCTTGGGTGAGGATTAAAAAAAAAAAAAAAAAATCACTAAATGCTTTCCAGCATTGTTGGTAAGTGCTGCCAGATCAGAAGCACTAGGAAATAGCTGTTCACTGTATCTTCCCACATTAAAGGCAGTGACTCCCAGAGTAACAGATCCACTGAGAATGGGGCTCCTTTCAGCCAAGTCAGCCTGAGTGCAGAGGGACTGTGGGATCCACGGTGCTGGGGGTACCAGAGAAGGGGCGGAAGGGGTGGGTTCTGGTGCCAGCCTCTCCCCAGGAGAGTGGGGCTCAGCGCAGGAGCAGAGGACCAGCCTCTACTCCTGCTTCAGGCTCACTGGGAACAGAGGGAGGCTTCAGCCCAATTAGCTTACAAACTGCATCTATATCACAAAGGTAGGGGGTCAACCTAAGAGGTGACTTATCTTAAAGCATCAGGTCAGTTCCATGGAGTGAATGCTGAGAAAGAATAAAGTCCTTGCTAGCTTAGAAGGCAAGTCTCTTATCCCTTGAGAACCTGCAAAGATTATTTGCCACCTCAGTTATTTTGAGTTCTGGTAAAGTTTTGGAGAACAAACTATGGTATGTTGGAACATATTATCTTGGCATTACCATGAAATTTTAAAAAGTATATTCCTTGAGCCTCAAAACACTCCTAGACTATTTAAGACATGCATTATCTTGGTTAACTTTCCAATGAGAATATTGATAAATTGAGTCTCATTAAGTCTCCATTTTGGGAGCCTGGCTGGTGAGGCTCAGTGGATTGAGCATCCTCCCATGGACTGAGAGGTTCTGGTTGGATTCTCAGCCAGGGCACATGCCTGGGTTGCCATCTCAATCCCCAGTAGGGGGCGTGTAGGAGGCAGCCAATCAATGTTTCTCACATCGATACTTCTGTCTCTCTCTCCCTTCCTCTCTCTCTAAAAAACCAATAAAAACATATTTTAAAAATGTCTCCATATTTTGTTTTGTCCAAGATAAGCCTTGCTTCCCTGTGACTACTAATATGCTATTAAATTAATAGTTTTGGGACAACTTCACTTACTTTCCTGTAGCTTACTGGTAAAGCAGGAGTTATTTTAACCCCATGCTAGTATACTTTATAGCTGAGGGATCTACCAACGAGAAATAGAACAACATTCAAGAAGGTAAAAGAAAGCATGTCAGGGTTATAAAGAGAAAAAAATGACTCTTATTTATTTTCAAATATGTTTTTATTGATTTTAGAGAGAAAGAAAGGGAGAGGGAGAGAGAGACAGAAACATTGATGAGAGATCAACATCAACATTGAGCGGATCAAACCCGCAACCCAGGCAGGTGCTCTGACTGGGAATTGAACTGGGACCTCTCAGTCCATGGGACGATGCTCAATCCACTGAGCCACACTGGCTGGGCAAGAAATTACTCTTATTCAGAGCTGGAGTGTTTAGTTTAAAAAATTATATATTAATTTGAAACATATCCATGCCCAACAACAACAAAAAATAGACAGGAAATTCTGAAAGAGGCCAGCTTATAAATTTTAGAATAAATCGGTTATAACAGGTTAGCTCACTTACTTATTGGCAGAAACTCTGGGACTAGAATCTAGGCCTCCTCATTTTCAGTTTACTCATTAATTCATTAATCTAAAAATGTTTATGGACACCATCTGTGGCAGGTGCAGAAGAAATAGCAGTGAGTCAGACAGACGTGGTTCCTGCCCTTGCGGAGTTGATAGATGATAATGAAACAATTCAACAGTGAATGATAAGAACCACGAAAGGTTCTCGAAGGCCCTGCTACAAAGGTGAGTGACTTAGTCTGGATGAGCCAGCTTCTCAGAGGAAGTGATATTCAATTTAGGATTACAGACATAGTCATTCAGAGACCTACAACTTTACACCCAGCGATGACCACACTGACCTGACAGAAAACTCTTCAACATCAAGTCGCAAGAATCTGAGAAGCAGCAAAGACATTACATTCCCAATAAATCCACATGCCCTAAACGGTTCGGAAGTATCATCACCTCCGGGGGTAGCCTTCTCAGCTTCCTGCCAGAGTAGACCCTCTTTAGCAACAAAACCTGTTTACAGACACACTGCACAGACCTGTTTTGCATCTTCTAAGCCAGTGCCCTGGGGATGCCTCGCGGCAGAGAGCTTCGTCCTGAAGGCCGGATGCTACACGCACTCCTCCCAACACAGAAGGGCGCGGCCTCGGGAGCAAAGGCCATCAGGGCGTCCAGGAGGTATTTTATCAGCCCAGAATGACGTCAAAAGACACCATGACACTGTACTCAGAGAGGAGAGCGATGAATACATACCCTGAAGCACTGGATGTGAAAATAGAGATTGAGGGTCTCGATGATCATCGCAGCTCCTTTCCCCAAGGGGAGCCCACAGGAAGAGCACAGCTTCTTCCCACTGATAGACCTGGGGTCAAAACCATATATAATAATAAATGTTCCATTTAGAATAGTTGGCTAAATACACACATGTAGCCTCATGCAACAAAAATGAAAACATGGTTTTAAAAATGTTTTTCTCATGAGTGAAATGACAAATGACTGAACTGATACTGAGCAGAACTGAAGCATGAGACACAGCTGGCAAACATGTGCTGGACCAAATCCAACAGGCTTCCACTGTGGTGCAGAGTTGGGTGTGCACACGTACGTGTGTGTTTTCGTTATTTGTTACAAGAAGTTTGTGTTGTAGTTTATCCAAGCACAGTGATCAAATGCCTTGAAATGATTCAATGTATTTATCATATGTTTACATAAGTCCTAGAAGATCATCAGGTTTAGCTTTACTAAGGTCTCAATGTTGCTTTAAACTTTTCAATAATTGAGTCATTGGCCCAGGAGGGCATTTCTTTGACCTATTAAGAAAAAAAATTTTTTAAGTTTAAAACTAGAGAGGCAATTACGACACAGCCCAATGGGTCCCAGGAGATATAGGATCTAATAACTGCTTTGTCACCAAGTTCTGTGGTCTGGTGTCGAGAACTCACGTTGGGGTTCCCTTTCACCTTCAAAATGAGAGAGTTGGACTGGAAGATCTCTCCTGCCTCTTCCAGAGTAAACTCTCTGCCACTCTATAACCTGGGACTTGATCCTCTCCGCGTTGTAAGCCCCTTGAGGGCACGGGCGGCATGGACCCCATCTCTGTACCCCTGCAGCCCCTGGCACAGTGCCCACCAGGGGACATGAACCACACCTAGCAGACCAATGCCAGGCGAGGGGCGGGCTGGTTGTCCTCTAAGGAGGCTTTCCCACACCAAGATCAGATCGCAGTGATGCCTATTATTGGAAAGCTCTTGGAATTACACAAGAAATCTGAAAATATGCAACATCATTCAGAAGCCCACAGGGTACAGAGGGACAGAGGAAACAGAAAGGAAGACAAAAGAAAAGAGGAAGAGTTGTCCTAAGCAAACCCTATTTATTAGGATTTCCCTCTAATCCAGTAGTTAAATGAAATTTCTAAATCAAAGAAACCTTGGAGTACTCAGTAATGGTCTCTCCAGTGAACGGCAACGCAGGCAGCTTTTAAGAATATCACGGGGCCCAATTAATGTCCAGAAGCAATCCTTAGAGAGCTCGGTATGGGGAGAAGTCCCGCTGCCTGGCCCCGCCTGGTTCTCTGGAAGAGCCAGCGGCCCAGAAGGACCGCGCCATCCTGGAGGGCAAGGCGCCGACGAGGAGCCCGGCAATTGTCTGGTGGATTTTATTATTAGATTGCAGGTTCCACAGAATATAATTAAAGGCCTGTGGCCACAGCCGCGCCAACGTCACACACGGCTTTTTTTCTCGCGGGCTGCAGATGGATGGGGGGGGGGGTGCGTTCTTTCCTCCAGCCTGTGCGTGTGTCGAAAAAGACTTATGGACAGACCCCCTCCAACTCATTTGGCAGCACTAATTCGGTTAAAATTATGCTTGGCAGGCTCTAGTCAAAACAAAGCCTCCTCAGAAAGGCTTGCTGACCTCTTGTACCTGTTGGGAGACTGGCCAGGAGGGGTGGGCGGACAGGGGGACAAGTGTCCCGCCCGGAAGTTCTCTCGAGGGCTTTTCCTGTAACATGGTAAAGGAGCCAAAAGTTAGGACAAGGAAAGAGAAGCCCAATCCCACAAGAAAAGACATTTTGGATAAGAAAATAAAAAACTTTCTTGATAACCAAATAAAAGACCACAGAGCGTCCTAGTGGGATTTTTCATAAAGGACAAAATTAGTAATTCTGTCTGGCGAAGATGACACATGCAGTGGCCACATAAGAGCAAACCAGGCTGGCACTGTGGAATGGAAAAGACGGTAGGTTTCTAATCTTTATTCTTGCCAGGTGCTTTGCTTAGCTAGAACTGCACGCTGAGTTAGATATACAAATGATAGCCTGTGTGGGAGGGGGGAGGTGAGTGGGGATATAGGGAGCCCGAAATAAAGGATAGAACTTAGAGGAGGTAATTTTCAGTGAGGTGGCTTCCACGTCATCAGTAAATTCGTTCTGAGGACATGTGAGGAGGGGTGGTGTTCCAAAACGCTTAATGACTGCGATGTCACAGGCCTCTACAAAGCACGAGGGTCCCCAGCCAGAAGCTACCGGGGTGGTGTTACAGGGACAGTCGGCCGCACAGTCCCTGCCTGTGATTCGCTGTCAGTTCTGGGCTCTCGCTTATAAACGTTCATTGCATTTGCAAAGAAAGGGATAGAACACAGAAAAAGATGAGGATAAGAGAAATGCCAACGCAGAAGCGAACAGAGCCAAATCCACCTGTCTCCTAATGGAACCCCTGCCCACCCAAATCCTCCTCCTCAGGGAGAGCTTGTTTTCTCCAAATGTCACATTTTCATGCAACACCTTAAAGTGTACGTCCCACTGCGTAAAAAAAAAAAAGATTGAAAATCACTGTAATAATCAATAACAATATTGATGACTTCTATGTGATTTTTAGCTCCTGTTGATTCTGAGTGTCATCTAAGCATATAGAAACAAGCTTGGGTAGACATAAGAGAAAAGGGGGAAATGGATCAAATACTGTTTTTTAAAAAATATAACAGAAAAATAAGATTAAAAAAAGAACTTATAAAATGAATTATCATCACCATCATCACCGTCGTCATGGTCACTACCACCGCCTATATATACAGTACCTATTATTTGTCAGATACAGAACCTCACAGGTAGGTGTTACTATTATTTCCATTTGATGCAGGAGGAAACTGAAGCAGAGAAAGATTAATCAACTTGCTCAAAGCCCCATGCAGGCAAGTGGCAGAGTCAAAGTTTATCCAGGTGGTCTGGCTCCAGGCAGAGCGACTAAAGTATAATGAATTTTATATTTTAAAAACTGATTATAAGGAACCTCTGGTTCAAATATGATCTTATCACGGAACTGTGGGTTCATTTTGAATTTCTCTACCACTTAACCAGTCAAGTGCTTTGAATTAAGTTATTTAATTTCCCAAGCCTCAATTTCGTCGTCTGGAAAATGGGAAAATAACCCAACTGAAGTTGCTGGGAGAGCTCAGTGAGTTAATCTATGAAAAGAAGAGAAGAGATATGTAAACTCTTCAACCCAGTGCCTATAATATTGAAATGTTTCAAAAATGTTAGGAACTATCATTATTGTAAAAAAAAAAACCAAAAACCAAATCTTACAAAATTAGAATGTAGCTTGGCATAGCTGCTTAAAGGAAGAGAAGAATGATAATGAGAAAAAAATGTTTTTCCTTGAAAGAATATTTGTCAATAGATTTGGAGACAATTTCACTCACTTAAATTGTTAATACAACATGCCTACAATTTTTTCCCAATGTGTAGATTTGTGGGTTAAAACATTACTTTGCCTCTTTCAAATGGATAAATTCAGAGTGTATAATTAACTTGCCTGGAAGACTGTCTTAAATTTCCATAAATATTTGTTGTCTTGTCAATGAGATTCAATGGAGAGAAAGCACAAAAATGCTGCTAACATCTTGCTATCACACACTTTTTTATTTTCTCCCTTCTTAGTCAATACACTTAAAAAAACAAGCACAAATCCCACATCCGCCTTCTTTGGTTACTCACTTCCGCCTTTCACTTGGCGACTCAATCCGATGGTTAATGCTTTGATCGAGCGGGAGGGTTTTTGGCTTCACATCTTCTAAAGTGTTCATTGTCGGGTTAGATACCTGCTGATTCTGGGATGGATCTGAGGCCAAATCAAGAACATACAGTTAGTACTCAGTAACAGCACCTTTGCTTAGTAAGTCACCTTTCGATAAAGTGCTCATGCTGCTGAAGTCTCAAGGTGAGCCCACGCAGAGTGCGGGTGCTGGTGGTGGGAGTTTATTCACGGTGCTCTTTGGCATAAGTCAGAGAAGCTGGCAGCAAACAGAAATCATTCTGTCTGGATGGTAAGAGGGGCTGTCTTAACCCCTGGGACTGGTCTCCATACTCACCCTGAGCTAGCTCAGGGTTCACCCCACAGTGGGGGGCCCCAGCTTCTGTATCCAGCTGATCGGCCTCGTGGGTTCCTTTTGACACGGGATTCTCAGAATCACTCAGGGCCCCCTGAGTTAGGCTGTTAAAATAAGTAAATATATTTCAGAACAGAGATAAAAGCAACTGAACTAACATTAGTGATCTTATCCCTTAGGGTATGGAAGTACCAATTTCAACATGAAAAAAACAAGTACCAATTTCAATATGAAAAAATAAATGGGGATAACGAAATGTTTATTTGTTCTTTGTACTTTAAACTAGATTTAAATACTCTGAACTGCTACTCATTTTTATTATCCATCAACTTAACAAGCTTGAGAAATCATCATTTCTGATGTCCTCCCCCCCCCCCCCCCCCCCCCGTTCACAAAGCAATTCATTCTAATAATTTCACGGGATGCCAGAGCTAACTGCAGGACTCGCTCAGATTATGAGAGGACTTATTGTAGAAACCATTCGGGCCACGTGGGACTTTGGCAGTCCATGGTAACCTGCTCAACTTTTAGTAGCTTTTATGTGCAAAGAAAGGAGAGAGAGGAGAGATTTTTAAAGTTTTTGGCAACAATAGGGACTATCTGGAAAACCAGCAAAAATTTATATAAAATGCTTGTTGGTGGTATTCAAAAATTCCTGATGGTGGCTTTCATTTCATATAACCGGAAAGTTCCTTTACACAGTGTTAACTGGAAACAGATGTGCTATTCCAAGGGCTCGCAGACTCCGGGCCCTGAGCCCCTGTGCCTTACAACTCACCCAGTCTCCTAGCTGATGCGCATAGGAGGATGCTCAGAGCAGATCCCACCAGACGAGCTCAGCTCTCCGTCAACCCTTCAAATTCACCAGTCTTTGAAAATAAGACTTAGCCTTTCCTGTCTTCAGGTCCATCTGAAGACGGTGTGTGTGTATGCGCAGTCTGGCCCAGCAGGCACACTTGATATCTACCTGGTATCTCAGAGTCCCAGAGGCAAACATCTGTCTCATTAAAAACTTGCTGGTGGCAGAGCTTCCTGGGTTTCTGTGGGTCCCCTCTAGGTTAGGTGTGGGGTGGCAGCAATAAACGCACTATAGCCCATAGCTCCAGCCAGATTCTACTCCCATGGAACAGGCTGGAACCCATGAGTGGGTGATTCCACAACCAGTCGATTTGTTGGTTATTCTTTATGTTATTACACAGAGTAAACGTGGCTTCTCACAGCTCAGAGGATACTAATGGCGAAGTTCAGGTCCACAGTGGGTGGAGCCTCAGCCCATCATTCTAACCTCTACCCTCCAGTCACACTGACCATTTCATGGGAGTGATGTGTAAGTTTGGGGCTCTGAGCTGACCACATGCTCCTTGTCTGATCTCTCCTTATTTAAAAAAGGTTTCACCTATTTAAAAATCAGGCTACTTGCCCTGGCCGGTTTGGCTCAGCGGTTAGAGCGTCGGCCTGCGGTCCTGAGAGACCCGGGTTCGGTTCCCGCTAAGGGCGCGTACCTCGGTTGCAGTTTGTATCCGGCTCTGGTCGGTTGTGCGGGTGGCAACCATTCGATGTGTCCCTTTCACATCGATGTTTCTCTCTCTCTCTCTGTTCCTCTCTCTCCCTCCCACTCTACCTGAACAAAAAAGAAATGGAAAAATGTCCTCGGGTGAGGATAAAATAAAAAATAAATAAATAAAAAAAAATCAGGCTACTTATATTCAATAGCACAAGGACACTGACTTCAGAGTTATTAGAATGTGTTCAAGCAATATGTAATGTATGACTGGAATGATCATTTCAAAGCCGAATATGATTTGCATTAGCAATGAGCACTCTTCTTGGGAGAGAACAGGCAGAGCCTGGTTTTGTGCATTTAGATGGGCAGCCCGGTGTGGCTCACACTGGTGTGGCTCATACCTGCCCGTTTCCTCCTGTCGGTCACCTTCCCTGGTCGGAAGCAACAAGTCATTGTTGTCCTCCTGGAATGCTCTCTTCTGTCTTGTCTCTCGTTCTTCTTCATGACAGTTTTCCAGGTCCATCTTATTCTAATGGGGAAAGCAAGAAAAATCTTAAATACAATTAAAAAATTTTTTTTTATGCTCACCCAAGGATATTTTTGCATTTGTGTTCAGATAGAGTGGGAGGGAGAGAGGGAGGAAGAAAGAGAGAGCAACATTGATGTGAGAGAGACACATCGAGTGGTTGCCACCCACATGACCTCCACCAGGGCTGGGGACAAACTGCAACCGAGGCACATGCCCTTAGTGGGAACTGAACCCGGGACTCTCTGGTCCATGGGCTGACACTCTAACCACTGAACCAAACTGGTCAGGGCTTAAATACAATTTTTAAACCCACTGGACAACACTAATCTCTGGCTATGGAATAGTTGAAGCTTTTTCTTTTCTTCCAATAACATTGCCAAGTTCAAATTAACTGAATAGTAACTGAGTTCTAATGATTTAAAATGAACATGTAATCTAGATCTCTCTCAAAAGTTATCATAAAAAGGAACTGGTTAGAAAACCTACATTTCAAAATCAAACAGTCATAGAACTGCTCATTTCAGGACAAATGGCTTTCTAGTGCCTACTGCTTATTTTCTTTAACGCAGATTATGGACAACCCAGGGTTTGGTATGACTTCTGTCCACTACCTCTCTGACCTTACTTGGGAGATATGGAGGTAGACTAGCCTTTCTGGGCTCTCTCCAGCCTTGAAGACACATGTAAATGCCACGCAGAATTTTAAGAGTGGGTTAGAAGCAACTTTAATGGAGGTTGGTGGAGAGCCTACTGTGGGCATCCGGCGGCTACCATCCAGTGCAAAGGGGTGTGTTATGGCAAAGAGGAATGCCTGCCTGCTGCATGAGTGAATGATGGGCAGTGAGAAGTATTTCCAGCACAGGGCCCACGAATCAGGATGTTGCCAGCCAGTGCAGAGAGACTTTGGATGCTAGCCTGTGGGGGCAGATCTGGCTTCAGTAATGACTGTACTGCTCCTCGGTCAATGACTCTAGATTTGGCCATGGCGGTGACAATACCATGGGGTACAATGGCCATGTAGGAGCCAACATGATTCTGGAGAAACAGCCAGTCCTGGATTTAAACTTGTGGAAAACTTGACCTTGTGGTTTTGTACTTCGATTTGAAACTATGGTCTCACCACTGCCCCACTGCCTTCAGTTAGAGAGGAGGATGTAGACAGCTGGTCTGCAGAGCTTGAAGAAACAGTAAATGGAACCACAGTGTCTTCAATTATTTTGCGCTCCTAAGAGGAAGAATGGGAATTAATGAAAAGGAAAAAATAATCAAATATCATATTTGTTAAAAGAAAAATTTCATTAAGAAACTTTAGAAAAAAGACATCAGGATTATATGCAAACAAGCAGGGCATTAAAAAAAGGTCTTATTTTCTAAAAGCAAATCAGATAATACTCTCTATGGGCAATGGTTTAGAAATTAGCATTTGATTTAATCGAAAAACAAAGTCTTCACAAATTAGTTAGTGAGATTCAAGAAGCCTTATTAGAAATGCTGTAGGGATTGGATTATGTACAAAAATCATTACTGAAGATAAAATTCACAATAACATTAATCATAAACAAATTTTAGATAATATACATAAAATGTAGCTCTCTTTAAATCCTCTAACGTGGTCTGGTTTGTTCCTCTAAAAAAATGAAACATGCCAAAGCCAGGATCCCTCCCCTGCATTCCTTCCACTACACTCACTCCGTGGTGCTCTCTTTACCAAACCTCTTCAGTGTCATTGAGTGATTGCAGTGATAAGGATCCATTTGGCCTTAATATCAAAATTGTCCTCATAAAATTAATTCACTACCAAACATGCTTGCTCAAACACACACGCTAATACATAAATTGATACTTCCAAGTCATCTCTCTAAGATAAATCAAGAATCTGACTCTGACTAGAGATCAGATATAATTATATTGTCTCCCTTGACCATTATCACAAACTAAATTTGGGGGAATGGTGGCCTTTCAGAGCCTACAGTAGATGACTCTTTTAAAGAGGTTGACGGGCTCTGCTGTGGGTCACAGGCTCAGACACAGCCACAGGCACACATATATCACAGACACAAAAAGCATGGACAGACTGTGAGGAAACAGGACCACAGGGTCAAATTCCTTTTGGGAATTTCCTACCTCCTCATAGTATCTGCGTTCTTCCTCTTCCACCTCCTTTTGGGCTTTTTCCCACTCTTCTTTCAGCTTGTCCTGCTCCTTCTGGTATCTCTCCTGTTACAGAATTTCCAGAGACTGCTCTGAACTGACCACTGCATGCACCATTGGGACTCACCCTCTAAACCACCATGGCCCATAGGTTCTCAGACCATCTTCTTGTAACATAGAATTTAACCCATTCATGCAACATAAGGGGAAGAGTATTTTATGGTACCCAAACATGTTAGGAACCTAAAAATCCAAGAGAGAACAGTACAGGGTGGGGCAAAAGTAGGTTTACAGTTGTTTGTACGGAAAATAATACAATAATTAAATAATAATACTGTACGAGAATAAACATACAACTGTAAACCTTCTTTTGCCCCAGCCTGTTTTCTGCCATTCTTTTATAGAATTGCTCTGCAGATATATGAGTAGACATTTGCTTACAGAAGAGAAAAGATAAAAAAAATTGAAAGATTCTAAAATCTTCCTTTAGTTGGGTTTTCCCCTAGGAGGTTGGCTAAACCAACAGTTTGCTTTTTACTGGGCCTTGTAGAGATTAGTTTTGCCATCCTACAACAGAAATATGTTTGCTGCTCAGAGAGTTTAATAAAAGGTTAAAAAAAAACAACCTTGCCCTGGCCGGTTTGGCTCAGCGGTTAGAGCGTCGGCCTGCGGTCCCGAGAGACCCGGGTTCGGTTCCCGCTAAGGGCATGTACCTCGGTTGCAGTTTGTCCCCGGCCCTGGTTGGTCGTGCGGGTGGCAGCCACTCGATGTGTCCCTTTCACATTGATGTTTCTCTCTCTCTTCCTCTCTCCCCCTCCCACTCTACCTGAACAAAAAATAGAAAAATGTCCTCAGGTGAGGATAAAAAAAAAAAAAAAAACAACCTTGCAGAAAGACCAAAAGTGGACAAGATGATAATTAGCTGAGTAGCTGAATTACTCTTTGCTTGTAGCCATTCTACCAAGATGGAATCTCCCTAGCTTTAAGTAATTTCTGAATTAAGAGTAGCTTTAAACAGCCCATTTGAAGGCTTCATTATCAGAACTGCCATTCTCGTTTCCAGAAATAAAACAACACTAGTCACCACTTCTGGGGAAAAGAATAAAATACTCTGGATAAAAACAACTTTAAAAATGTGACTGGAGCTCCTGATAGCTGACTGAAGAAATGAATACCTAGAGATTAAGATTAGTGCCTAAAATGAGGGCTGACCCCCTGGATGCCTTGGAATGGCATCCCTGCCATGACAGAGACAAAAGAATCACCCCGGTGAATGACATACTGTCAAGTATTGCAGGCTTATTACTGCCAATCCTCTCTGAAGCTAAAACAGGCCTGTGCTTTAACCTTCCAGGAGGCTCCGCCCTCCTCCAGGTCCTGCCTGTGGTGTCATTATCTCAGGAGCACAGGCTGCACTGGGATCACCTAGAGCCTGGTGTTCTTATGGGTGCTCTGGGAAACCACGGTGGGGCGACCATGGGAGGCTTTTCATTCCAGGTAAACATTTTGTTATCAAAACCCAACATTGTGAAGTTTTAGAAAGGAAGTTCAGGGGCTTTTCAAATAGAGAAAACAGGCCTCAAAACTTCACAAAATCTGAAAAACAAGCCAAGCATTTTAGGTTCATTGGTTCTAGGAGCGCACCTCACCCAAGAGGATGCCCAGATAGCGGTAATGCGGGGAGTGAAAGGTGTACGCTGGCGCCCCCTGCCGGCTTCCCCGCAAACACCTTTCTCCAAGGCCCACCATGTGGGACAGGAACAAGACATGTCTGCTCTGTAATCGTGGTCACCTTTGACGTGAAACGGACAGAGTGCCACCTGGCAAGCACTTGCCTGTCGTCTGCACTCGGGAACTTCTGACTCTCGGCTGTTCACCGCTCAGCTAGAAAATGGGCATCTCATTCGGAGAACAGAAGATGCTGGGGCTGGTCTGGGCTCTCCCGAAGGACCCCAAAGTCCCAGCGGCTCAGGGACTTTGCTGAATCCAATTCTTACTAACATTTTGATATTGAAGATTTGCCTCTACACAATTTTGAAAAGTGTTGAGTTTAACGTAAGACCTAAAGCCACGCTGCTCATGGTTAGCTCTAAATGGGTCCCTGCTCCCCTCCCTGGGAATTAGGCCAAATGGACTAGAATAGGAATATTTTTTTAAAAAAGTAAAGTAAATTTACATTAAACATTGCTTTCTAAATAGCAGCAGATAGCCATCAAAATTAATGAGATTTAAAATTCTTTTCAGTTATGATTGGGGTGGGGGGGTAGAGCAGAAAGAACATAAAGAACATAAGTTTTAAAGTCACCCAGACTTGGATTTGAAACCAAGTTCAACCCTTGTTAGCTGTGTGACGTTGGGCAATTAATTTAACTTATTTGAGCCTTAGTTTCTTCCACTGCAAACTGGGGCTATTGAGACATACTTTGAAGAGTTTTATGAGAATTAAATTAGATAAAATATGTCGAACACCAACCATACTTCCTGGAATATCCCAAGTACTCAGCACAGGTTGGTTTCTGAGATTACTAGGTTACTTTCTGACGCCCTGTTACTCCACAAACATGGCACAGAACAAATAGAAAGATGATACATTTACTCCTTGAATTTTTCTCGAATTGGAAATGAGCAGATCTTACTCCAAGATGGAACAAACACTTCTAGCTGAGAAACTAGAGCCAGGCCAAATTTTATTTCACATGTACGTGTTCAAAGAGCTTTCAGCAATTCATTCCCACTGTTACTGGGACTAGAATTTGATTGGCAGCCAAGGAGGTGATGCCTGCCTGAGTTGGCCCCTCAAAACCTGGAGGTTAAAAAAAATTTTTTTTTCAAGTGAAATGCTTTTTCCTTGTGTTCATCAGTGTAACCTCTGCTAGGAGGGATTAGACACAGGCACTATGTCGCATGGACACAAAATGAACTAACAGACTCATCGATTTCTGAGAAGAATTTGATTCCATGTGCTTCCTGTGCTAAAGAAGATCTATTTAATACAACAGAAACTAAAAGAGCATCACCTAAAATAAATAAATAAATAAATAAGCAAGTAAGTAAGTAAATAAATAAATAAGGCAGCAAACCCAGTTGTCCTACCTGGAGGAGACGTTCCTGCTCCTGCTGCCATTTTTCCTGCCGCCTGCGCTCCTCTTCTGGGTCCCATGCCCAGAACTTGAACTGCTTAGAAAATAAACACATGGTCAGAGTTGAGCCATGTCCTCAAGGCCTGGCCAGGGCAAGGGACACAGTGAGCTGTGGGCCGAAGCAAAGCCTTCTACACCTAAAGGTCCTCTTCGCTGGCAGCGGCTGCCCTTCCAGCTTACCCCCTCTTTGGCTTACTTCCAAGAGGCTGATATGATTCCGTGAACCTTTCTGGAGCTAATGAAAACACGAAGTAATTAGCCCCTGGCACAGGCAGGCTTTTGCTTCGTTTCGTTTAGAAGTTATTCTTAAATGTATTCATGCTCCGGAGCGTAAGATACTCCTTCTGCATATTGATCTTGGGTCTAAGCAAATGGGAATGCTTATTTCAGCAGAACTGCGTTTTGCAAGAAGTGATGTGTGCCGCACTGTGGAACTACGTCATCTTTCAGACTGCTAACGCTTTTCCACACCGGCCTTCGCTAAAGCGGGCTCTTTAGCTCCCCGCTGCTCATCAGCTTCACCCAAGATCCCGGCAATGCGGAGTCTGTGCCATGGGACCCACGTAACAGACATTCAAACCCAAGATTTTTTTATTTTATTTTTTAAGAAAGGTTTTTGTGAGTTTGGGAGCCAAGTAAGTGAATGGAATTAATGGGAGAAAAATGCATGAATCAAAGCAGGCATCCAGGCCCCAGGGTATAAGATTGAGAGGGTCTAGCAATGGGGGAGAAATCACAGCTGGTCCCTGGGAAACCAGCACAGGGGGGCTGCTGTGTTTAAAGTTGGCCTCCCCCATCACCCAGAGCAGGTGCCAAGGCAAACCAGGTTCCCCAATCACTGTACTTCGTCCCTTCTCCCGTATGGGGTAATTTGGGGGGGACACTTAGAACTGTTTGGGAATCTTGAAAGAAAAGTGAGGTGAGGGTGGGCAGTTAGGGAGAAAGGGGAGAGTCTAGGGTGGTATGTGGAGCAGGCAGAATCTACCTACCCTGGCTACCTGGACGGCTGGCAGAGTCAGTCTTGCCCAAGGTTTAGATGGGTCCAGTTACTGCCCAAGACACCTGGGCAAGCCCACCTTTTGCCCTGCCTGCCCTCAAGAGATCTGCACGACCACTGGGTGTATGCCCCCCGCCCCCACCCTGGTGGCCCAGGGAGGCATCTCCAGGCTGAGATCACGGGCAAGGTCATGGGGATTACTTGATTTATAACTTAAATACATTTAGTCACATATGAAATGTGGGCCTCGGCTGGTACTCTTGCTGTGGTTTCTGCAATGGCTGGGACGGCCACGAAAAGTCAAAGAAAGGAGGGCAGGTGGGGGGGACATGAATTCCCAGATGCCATACTTGGGATTCACAGTGCACACGGGGATACGAAAAGGCCCTGACAAGTACGCAGGGCAAACGCTATTCACTGGATATAATCCGAAGTTTTCCAATTTCCTTTGATGACCAGAAAGTACCATCCAAATGTGAATACCAGATGGGAAATTCTACTGGATTAATAATGTTGGATGTTGGCTCCACCCGGCATTTTCCAAAGACTTTCAAGCAGTTGAAATGTTCAGAACCTCATGGCCCTTCTTTGTGTTTTGAGGAAAAAGGGGTGTGGTTATGTGAATAAGGCCATAAGGAGCCCAAGGAGGAAAAGTCCACTAGAAGGAAAATAAGAGAAACAATGAGGAATTATTTCATTTTCAGACGTCTCAAGGTAGTAACTGCAAGAACAAGTCAAGTTAAAGAGTAAGCCGACAGGAGGTGGAGGTATGGGGTAGGGGGAATGAGCTCAGAAGAACATGCAGAATATTTGTTAAATAGCAAGAGAGAGAAAAAGTGAGTTTTTTCAGAGGAAGGTACCAGCGTGATACACAAGCGGGAAAGAACAGACGGTGTTCCTTGGCAATTATTTGCTGAGCACTTAATGTGGGTTAGTAGAGATACCAGCTGGCCACTAGTCTCAGCACTGTGGAGCTTACAACTACCCAAGTGTGAGTGTGAGTGTGTGTGTGTGTGTGTATGTGTGTGTGTGTTGGGATGGGGTGGAGGGTAACCAAATATGTAAATGATCACAAGAAGACAGTGGGAAACTATCGTAAAAGAGGTAAAAAGGTGCCAGACAAAGTCGGAATAGAGAGCATTTAGCCCACTTTGTTCTATATAAATTACTTTGTTACAGATCTGCGTCTTCCTTTGCTTAGGGGCAGGGAGGGCTCCTTCTCCCTCTATGCATCCCAGGACCTTGCATTTTTAGGCCTTTGATCAATGTTTGCTGAATAAGTGAATGGACTTCATGCTGGATGACGCATCTCCTTCTCTCTCCTTCATGGACCCTGACCCTGTAGCCTAAGGCCAGTCCAAGTCTGACCCAAGTGGCCTGAGTCTGCTGAGGTCAGCAAAATCAAATGCTGATTTCCTCTTTAAGCTTCTCGCTTTTTGTTTTTTTTAAAAATTCTTTTACTTTTTTATTCTATGAAGTTATTTATCATTGAGAATTTCAAATTTGGGTGGGTATTTTCAGAGAATTCACTTATATAGGTCAGTAATCTGTCTCTTGTTCTATTTTCCACAAACAGAAATAAGAATGTACCCTTTTAGGGTACTCTTCCTCTCCACCCCTGCTCAGGGGGTGCAAGAACAATGTGACTGTTGTCCTCATGTAATTTAAGATGGAAATCCATGGGTTAGGTTGTACTCCTCAGATCTGTGCCATGAACGCCAGCTATGGGGTCCTTCCGGGGGTTCCCATCCCCCATGGGTGTACTTGGCTTCCTGGGGAACTCAAGATTCCCCAGTATTGGCGGAGACTGCGCCTCCACAAATGGTTGCTAGATCTGGGATGTGGCTGGAGACAGACAGTGAGGCTTACGTGGTACGTGTGTCCCTTCTCCATTCTGCATGGGTGCTTAGGAATTCCCAAGTGAGGCAATTTACTTATAGAGAAGAATTGGTATTGGCGATGGTGGGCCTCTTGGATTAGCCACTGGAAAGGATTTGTTCACATTTTGGGTACTGTGCTAGAGGCTTTCGAATAATTATTTCAATTAAGGCTCACAACATCCTGAAAGGAAGGTATATCATCTCATGTACAGTCAAGGAAGACAAGGTTCAGAGAAGTTATGTAACACTTTCAGGGTCGTATTGTTAGTAAATCTGGAATCAAGGGTACAGCAGTGATTCTGCAGCTGCTTCCAAGGGACTCTGTGCTAGTTGACTGTGCCCCAGAGGAATTCTTCAAATCTGGTGGGAATTTCAGAGGGTGAACAGGGGTGACGGCTCAGCCCTGGAAACACCCAGGTTAGAGAAGTCAGGTCGGCAGAGAGCGTGCTGACAAAATTGAGCAGCGTGGAATTGGACAGTATCACAAGTCTTGACATTTTAAGTAGCAAATGCTTTCTTAAAAAAATTTCATTGAAACAAAAAATTGAAAACTAAAGTTACTATTACTCAAGATACTGATTGCGACAAGGATACAACCAAGACAGCTTGGGTCTCCTAGAGAGAGTCCCGTCTGGGCTCTGTTGCCAGCATATGCTGTGTTGAAGGATTGTCCTTATTTAGAAAAATGATTTTGAATGTTTATAGAAGTTGCATATTTTAATCGTAATGCCTGGTGTCACATGCTTCTTTTAGATTTTACTTTCCTGGCTTAGTTACCACTTTGTTTTCAGATCGCGACTCCGCGTAGTGATAACCCACGCCTTCCCAACTCACCTGGCAACGTGTACACGACCTGCACTTACTCTCTTACAGTCAATTGTGTGAAGCCCGTGTTTGATCGAACCCTCTTTAAGTGAATCAAATACCCTATAATTAAAACCACACTATCTGCATGATCTTATTCCTTAAAATGAGTCACTTACTGGTGTAGTTGCAGGTGACTTCTCACTGCTTGGAGAATCCACTGCACAGAAAGAAAGAAAAGACCACAGTGTGAGTAGCTCCTCACTGTATTTCTCTCTGATCCTCTCAGTGGGGTGTGGTTCCTATGTCAGCTTCAAACCATTTTTTTTTTTTTTTTTTGTAAGCCAAGAGCATTAGATCAGAACAAAGCAGACCCCTGAAGCAATTGGTACCCATCACCAAAAGTAGTCATGACCATTGTAATATGACTGATTACATCCATTAGCACCAAGTACTAGACTATAGGAAGCAAAATCTATTCCTGCTAGTGCTGGTTTTTAATGCACCTTGATTGACAGTTCCCTCACTGCCTGACATGGAGAAATACACGGAGAGGCCAGATGCCACCCAGGAAGTAAAGAGAGTGACACAGTTAACAAGAGAACCATGTTCTTGGTAAACGCGTCTAATCTTTGTTTTAAAAAGAGAAGAGGACAATAAAGAGATGAATATTATTATTTCTTTGGATTTTCAACATCAAAGTGAAATTCTGTGACCCCCCCCCCCCCATTTTAGCATTACTGGTACTGATACTGAAGAACCAGCTCTTTGCTAACTGTGTGCCAGAAACAAGCTTTATTTTTTCTCTGAGCTCAGAAATGAAGACAAATACCAGAGAGTACTGGTTGCCGGCAGCATGGACGTTTGCACAGTAGAGACACAGCTAGCCAGACGCATTTACCTGACTGGGAGAAAAACTGGGAGCGGCGCCAAGAGTTCTGAACTCTAAGCGGAAGGCTGGCAGTGCCAGGCGGCTCTGGAGCAGATGGCAGGATGGAACAAACAGAAAACCGTGAAAATGGGGTGAGAGTTGAACAGAACCCTGCTCCCAAGTCCCACGCCCAGGTCTGGCTATACGAGAACTGAGCATGAAAGAATCTCAAGTATAAATGATCTCAACTCATACACAACCTGAAGCAGGAACAAAAGTCAACAGGAATGAGACGGTTCATGCTGTTGTCTGTCTTCTTTGGTGTTAGGTGAAACTTAATAGGCCCGTACTTAACGGTGATATTGCTAAAATGTTGAATCTCAAAATAATAAGATAATAGGCATGGTATAATAAGCAAAATGCACAGGACAGATTGCTTTTGGAGGACACTAGAAAAATATAAAAGACCGCAGAGATGAGTTCAATTATTATTGTACACACTTCATAAAGGTTACGTATGGAGGTCGGTGGCAGGAGGTACACGTGGGTGTAACAAACGCATGTGCGTGTCTGTGTCCTGTGACAGCTTCATGCAGACACAGAAGCTCATCTGCACCCTGACGCGGGCGCTGTGCCCACCCGTCATTCTCACTGCGACTAAGACAGTGGTGTTTAAAGTGTGCACAGGATTTCCTCGGCCAGATTGGAGATACCCTTCCACTGCTGGGAGACAGCCGAGCAATGGCAATGTGTCATCTTTGAATGGCTTGCATGAAGGTTTTCAGAGCACTGAACGCCTGTTTGTGCGTGTGTGTACGTTTAGGGGAAGTCTGTGGAGCACCACCAGGGCCCGTGGCCAGCAGCCTTACTGTGAGATCAGTCTGCGAACAGATGACTTTACAGAAACGGGGGAAATAGATGGTCTGGGGGAGGGAATATTAGGTATGGCTCCAGGATTCCCCATTCTAACCCTATGGCTTCGTTGGACTTGATGTGCAACCTCAGACTAGCCACTTAAAGGTGCACTGGCTTTTTATATCTGGGCAAGTCCTACACTTCCCGTCCCTCCAGTTAAGGACAAATCAACGATCCCCAGTAGGGGGCATGCAGGAGGCAGCCAATTATCTTTCTCTTTCTCATCCATGTTTCTCTCTTCCTCTAAAGTCAATAAAAACATATTTAAAAAAGACAAATTATGTCTCTTAAGGTTACATTAGAGGCCTTTTGCTTTTTGAAAGACAGGAATTTAAACACTCCATACAAGCATTACTGTTTTCTTCGTATCTATCAGCAATGTCTTTGGAGCACAATTTAAACACGTATTTCAAGTCACTGGTTTTTGGGGTGTGGTCTCTGGATTTGCAGCATCAGCACCCCTTTCGGAACTTGTTAGGACACAGACAACAGTGTAGTGAAGACCTGGGGTGGGGCAGGGGCTGGGTGGAGGGAGGCAAAGGAGGGGAAGATGGGGGGCAACTGTACTATTGTCAATAATAAATTAAAAATAAATAAATAAAAGTAAAAAAGGAGAAGAGACTGGACACCCTCCCACCCCAAAAAGAGTGTTACTTCCATTTTTGTTAATAAACTTATTACATCTACAAAGACCCTGTTTCCAAATATGTCCAAATAAGAAACAGAGTTTAACAGTGAACGACAAAGGTAAAATGTGTGAGTAAATTGAACCTTTATACTTCACTTTGTGGTATCCCATTGAATATATAAGCACAAGCTGATAAGTGTATAGCAAACTAACAATTATATACAATGTAACATTATAAAGTAAAATTTCATATTGTAATTCTTAAGTCAAAATTTATGTATATATTTGTAAAAATGTATTTCACCTGTGATTGTTGTTAAGACTGAAAAAATAAAAATAAAAAATGGGGAGAGGAAGAAAAAAATGCAAATACTGTGGCCTCAGCCCAGATCTTGAGGGGTGAGGGCGGGAGGCGGTGACCTGTGCTTTAACCCATCCTGCCTGGGCCCCTGGCATATACCTGTGTTTGAAAATTACTGCTTAAAACCTTTCTCCGCAATATAAACACTTCATTTTAAGGAAAGCATTTAAACGCAGTTTGCTTCTGCCTGGCGTCTTGCTCTATACTTCTATTGCTACTATTCTGTAACTACTAGACTATATTACTCGTGCTTATTCTGAGCCAGGGGTTGAGCTAAATACTTTTTAAACCTCATTTAATTCTTCCAATCGCCCTGTGAGATTGGTACTACGATTATTTTCAGTTTGCAGGTGACGATTAGAGAGCGATTAGGGAGAACTTGGGGGGCAAGGCCGCACAGCTCAGAACTAGATGAGCACGAATTTGAACCCAGGTGCTCTGTCTCCGGGGCCTGCAGCGGTGATTACAGCTCCCACAAACCAGACAGCGCGGACCAGGTATATGCCAAACATACTTCTGTTCTGAAGAATAGTTTTTGAAATGCTCCAGTGATACTAAGTTTTATTTTTAATCACTCAATTTAGACATAACATGAAGTAAAGTCATGTTATATCTAAACTGAGTGATTAAAAAATCACTCAAGAGCACATTTTACAATCCAAATGCTGTACAACGGGTAATGGAATGTAAAATTATGTAAGACAACAAAACTAACTAATATGACTTAAAATATCTTTCCTCTCTCCATGACTTACCCACACAATTACAAAGTGCTAGAAATAGGGCAGAACTTAAATCTGTCCAAATATTGCCCCTTGTTGGCCCAGTTATAAGACTATTTTTGTCAAATCTCTTCCGTAGGACTGAAAAACTTAAAACGAGCATTTTGAAGACAGTACTGAACTTGTCTCCACATTAAGAAACTAGTGATCATCAGTGCACGTACCACGTAATTCCCTCCCAAGTAGTTCTCGTTATGTAGAGAGAACCCAACTTACCTCCCAGCCCTCAACAAGGTTAATGGAGGCCAACTCAGATTCTGCTGCAAATAGCTGACCATCCTTGTAAAGAAAAGTAACCATAACTCCCCCGCCACAGTGTACCTGTACCATCCTCTCTTTGCCTGGACTGCTCAATCTATAAAATGTACCGGGGAACGTACATTAAAAACAGAAAAACAAGAAACCTTACAGCTCTTGCCTCCTGAGCTCTAGCTGTTTTCATATCTAGAGAGAGAATCCACACCAGTAAAGCTCAGTGGTCTGTTTTGAAGAACAGTCTCGATGGATCATGGGTTTCTCAGGAACCATCCTCCCACTATTCACATCCCTAGGGCTCCTTTTGGGGTATCTGTGGGCACCTGAGTTTCTCACCAGCATAAAGGGATTTGAGTTGGGCTCTTAAAGAGTAAAGGGGAGGATTCACAACCTATACATGGCCAACAGGTACTTGGGAGTTTGCACAGGTCATTGCCATTTTACAACTTCCATAGGCCCTTAACGCCTATATTTTTAGAGACCACCCCTCCACACATTATATCAAGCATGTGAAACATATTAAAATATATCCTCAGCATATATCTGTATGTATATAAGTATGCACACATCTGCTCTTGCTATGACCATTTTTGGGAAGATTAAAGTTTTTGGTTATGAGTAATACATTTAACCTAAGATTGTGAATGATTTCTTGGTACACACCCAGTAGGTACTATGAAGTAAGAAAGTCTGACTTTCTTCTAAAATCATTGTCCAGTGGCTATTTTATAAAGACTAGATCACTAGCAATTAATGAACTTGATATAATATTAAGATTGCAAACTTTTCTGTTAAACCTACTGATTTTGTATTTGTTTTTACATTTTGCAGACAATGAAAGTATTTTAGGGTATCGAACACTTGTGTAGGCCTTACGCTGCCTACAGTGCCTGGCTGACAAAGTGGTCTTGCACTGGGGTGCTTGGCCAGGCCAAAGAGAGACTGCAGCCCCAGAATCCTGGTCTGAAATCGTGAATCCAGCCATCGTGGACTTGGGCAAACTCTGTGGCCAAAGGGACATCAACATAAAGGGAGTGATCTTCCCCCAAACTGAAAATATTTTATGACAGACGGACCCTGGAGAACACGTAGAACTAAAATAAAACATTTCCTTCTCTTTACCTTGAGAACTGAGATTTGGCAAGTGTAACTGCTTGGTTTCAGGCGTTTCGTCCAGAAGTGGGAAGGTCAGGGTTGCTTCTGGTTCTGGAGATTTTGGCTTTCCCACCTGGATCACGAGCAACAGACACAAACATGGCAAGTACTGTCTATTAGTAAACACACAGGCAAAATAAAGTGAAAGAACCCATGCTACTACATACGTCAGCAAGCCCAAACATTTAACTTTTGAATGGAAAATGTGCCCCTTCTCCTATCCCTCTTTGTGCTTTTCTACTTTAATGTAGAGGTGGATTTTTCAGAGAAATCAAATGAGAGCATATACATTTGTTGATCACTTTTTCCCCAAACCCAGAGGATAGCATTCCATCTTTGGGATTATACATCACTCTATCTCATTTTCTTTCTTTCTTTTTTTTTTTTATCCTCACCCGAGGACATTTTTCCATTTTTTTGTTCAGGTAGAGTGGGAGGGAGAGAGAGGAACAGAGAGAGAGAGAGAGAAACATCGATGTGAAAGGAACACATCGAGTGGCTGCCACCCGCACAACCGACCAGGGCCGGGGACAAACTGCAACCGAGGTACGTGCCCTTAGCGGGAACCGAACCCGGGTCTCTCAGGACCACAGGCCGACGCTCTAACCGCTGAGCCAAACCGGCCAGGGCTCTATCTCATTTTCTTATTGATCAATCACATAGTCTGTTCCTGGTACTACATAATAATACATTTATAATGTCAGGATGTGAGATGTTTCATATACGATTAAAAAAAAAATCTTCCTATGTTAGTGCTAAACATTAAAGTAATATTACCTTTTTTTCATTATTTTTTTAATCTTTATTGTTGAATGTATTACAGATGTTCCTCATTTTCCCCCCATTGACCCCTCCTCCCCACTCCCACCCCCCTCCTGCCTTTTCCCACTGTTGTCTGTGTCCATTGGTTATGCATATAATTTCTTTGGTTTATTTCCTCCCACCCCCCAACCCCCCTTTTAATTGACATTATTCTTGAGACACTACACAACCCCCCCCATCAAATTTATGCACAGCACATCGAAGATAACAGACTTTGCCTGTTGACAAGAAGCACTGTCATCAATGGCCATTATCAAACAGCTCCGAAGCAATGAAGCCCTAAGGGGATTTTCGAGGCACGTCAGATTACTTGTCCTATGGTGAACAGTCCCCAAGCACAGGCTTTACAAATTTTTATACTTGCTTTGTAAAAATAGAATTTTCTTGTTATTGCTGTTTAATTTTATTTTGTTTCTTCCCAATCTGAATGGTCTTTGGTAGAAGCACCCTCTTTCTGATTCGTTGTTTCTCACCAACTGTTTGCTGGGAGGCCAGAGGACCAAACTAACAACTAAAACAAAAATTCGTAGATTCTGAGCAAAGATACAAATGAGGAGCAGGGCTGTATCAGCTCACATCCTCTTAGCCACTTCCACCCTGGCTGGCGGCTGTGTTCCCAACAGATTCATCTGATAGCCAATAAGGCACATGAGGGTAAAGACAGAACAATTGTTTCATCATAAGCTGATCTGGCCCTCAGAACAATTTAACGTCTAGAATTGCTTCTTGGTAGGATTCTATTTTTTCTTATAAATTATATATTCAACCCTAATGGAATCCTGAAGAAAATACAGTTATTCACTCCATTCTGCATTACAGAGGTCAACCAGATATCCAAATGAACTTCGGTGTTCAACACGCAGCAAGCTGACAACCCTCACATCCTGACCTCATACCATTTCCTCCATACTTGAGTCTGTCTGATAAAAACATGTTGCAGATGATGCCCAGTTGTAACGAACAGGTCACAGTCCGCAGAAATGTTTAGAACGATCACTACAAAGTCCATGTGTACTTTGCACAGGTACTTTGCAACACTCTCAAGTGAAGTCAGAAAACAAAAGCTGTTGTAACCACTGTGAGCACCTCTGTCCTTTTTCTAAGAGCGAACTGTGCTGTAGGTACAGAAGGAGGAGACATTCACAGTGTGAGAAAAGACGACCATGATGTCATTTGCTGATCCACCGGTAGAGATTCTTCACCTGGAGTCCACAGAGCGGAATCAGGGTCTGTATGTACTTGGTACCACTTGATACCAAGAAAGAAACCCACTTGGTAATCCTGTGTATTTTATACTTTAAAATACACACAGAGGTAAGACCCCTGAAAGCAAGTTTTCCACAGGGCAGATGTGGCACCAGTGGTCCGAAGGGGGATCGCAGATGAGGCTCACAGATGAGGTGCGTAGAAAACACTCTGTAGTAATGGTACTCATTCCTTAATTAAAAAGAGCCTAGCTATGAAAGAGAGTCTTCCTTTCAGTTTACAATGAAATGGAACAAAAAGTCAATTTGGAAGAATAAATAATGGAGTGCATCATAGATAAGGTAAAACCTGCAAAGACAGGAAATCCTGCCTGCCCCCAAGGCGTTTCCTACAATCTAGTTCCTCTTTTCAGGCCTCTAAACCATTCTCTCATTCTCTATGTACAAAATGAGGAATACTAGAGTATGAAATGTCCAAAGGCATCAAGGCAATGGCAGTGTTGAGACGACCAAGGACACGGCACTCCCAGTCCCTAAGGCCAGAGGCTGCGTCTTGGTCACCGTTGAATATCCAGTGTCTAACACAGCGCCCGGCACGTGGCAGGTGCGAGTCAATACTGGCTGACCAAACGGTGGAAGAACCAGAGGTAATAGTGGTGAATAATTCATCTAAACTCAAATCCAAATTAAGGGTTAATTTTTAAAGTTGGGATGCCACCACAGGCAGTATGCCCACAGGCAGGTCAGTGGTTCTCTGTTTTGGTGGCCCCCTTAGAACTACTTGGGGAACTTGTGAAACACAGATGCCTGGGTCCTGCCCCCAGAAAATCTTATTTATTTGAGCTGAAGTACATTTGGTCTATTTTTTAATTCAAAAGGGTAGCCAAGGGTGAGAACAATTGGTATAAAAGATGACTTTTAGACTGTGCCTGAAAACAAACTAAATTACTATGAAGAGGATGAAACTCCAAACAAGGAAGAAATTTAATAAAAACAAGATGTTAAAACCCATTATATGAGACTAATAAGTTTCCAGTTTCCTTCTTATTCAAATCCAGCACGCTGCTGTAAAATAGTAAATATGGGAAGAAGAATCTTTAGTAAGCCAAAAATAAACAAGCTCATATACAACAAACCGAAACCTAACCTACCTGCAAAGCTTTATAACTTATGTGAATATCACATTAAAAATATAGTTATTCATAATTAAAAATTAATTAAAATAAAATTTAAAAGACATGGAAAGAATACATATAGATTCTAATTATTACTAATAGAGAAGAGGGTTTCAGTGACTTGTTCTTGGTCTATGTTTATGTTTGTTTATTTAAATGTTATTTAAAATATATATATAAAACTTGATAGATTTGTTGCATATTGATGTGTACATCACTTTAAATATAAACAAAAAATACAGTTATAGACTGAATGTTTGTGCCCCCTAAAATTTGCATCTTGGACTCCTAACCCCCAGCACGATGGAATCGGGGCTTTGGTAGGTGATTAGGTTATGAGGGCAGAACCTGTGAATGGGATTAGTGCCCGGATGAATGAGGGCCCAGCGAGCGCCCTCCCCCTCTGTGCAGTGAGCACACAGTGAGAAGATGTCCATCTGTAAACCAGGCAGTGGGTTCTCACCAGACACCAATCTGTCTTGATCTCGGACCTTCCAGCCTCCAGAGCTCCGAGAAATTAATTTCTGTTGTTTATAAGCCACTCACTCTACGGTATTGTGTTACAGTGGCCTATGCGGGCCTCCATAGCTATCTATTTGTACTTAAATTACTGACAAGGAACACGTAATATATTTGTATTCAGAAAAAACACAGATTGAAGATAGAAAAAAGAAGAGCAGGGAAAATGTCCCATTCTGAGCAAGCGTGACAGCAGCCAGCGGCCACACGCAGCCGCGCTGACGGACACCGAACGGCGTGGCCCACTGCGCGATTCACCTTTTGTGACAGCACCAACTCCACCTTCCCGCTCAGCTCAGCTCCCGGTTTCTTCTGGCCTTTTTCTTCCGGCACATGGTTCGTCAGCGGGGCGCTGGAGGGGAACGCGACCAAGGCCACGGTCGGGCTGGCGCGAGTCACCGTTGTGGTGAAATGCTGTGGCTCTGAAACGGGTCACGTTCAGAAACGAAGTTGAATTACTGTGTGAGGAGACGTGAAGAGCCGAAGGTGCCAGATTCTCTAGGCTCTTCCACGACATTATAAAAAAACCGAGCAATATAAACCACATCAAGGAATCCCACTATGAAACACTGAAGTTCTTAATAAGAGCCAGAGTTTACATAGAAATAACATTACACAAGACGAAATGGTGACACATAGTATTATGATAGGTGGGTTAGGTGGACAAACATCTCCAGATAATTTCCACCCGAAGGACCGAGTGGCAGCCTGACTCTTCCTTTTGTATTTCAAAGTTCCTTTTTATCATCACATTTTCATAACTGGAATGTGTCCAAGACTGCACGGGATACGCAATGCAATGAAAACAGTCTTCTTTGGAATACAGAGAATTAGGTACACTCTAGAGTGGGTGGAAAAGTCACTACCTGAGGGGGCCTATCAAAATGAGGGGGTGTAATCTAGTTTGAAATTTTTAGTAATGATATTTAATTTATTCTAACATGCCACTTAAAAATCATTTGGAATTAGAAGAGGGTGACAGGCTTTAATGTTTATCAAAATAAGAAATGTGTTATAAATATTGGAAAACATTAATTCAGGAATAAAACCCAATAAAAACACTGGGTTTCTATTCATGCTCACTGTCCATATTTGTAGCATGACTTTCTTCTTTCAAACTATTCACCAGCTTTATTATTTCAGTGTCTATTTGTGTGTGTATGTGTGTGTGTGTGTGTGTGTGTGTGGTACGTGCCCCTAGCAGGAACCGAGCCGGGACTCTCTGGTCCGTAGGCTGACGCTCCAACCACTGAGCCAAACCGGCCAGGGCTCAGTGTCTATTTTTATGATATATATTTTTATCTGTGTCTTATCTACTGCTGTTACTGTGTGTTAAAATATGACCTTCATTTTTAAAAAATATGTTTATTTATTGATTTTTTTAAGAGAGAGAGAGAGGAAAGGAGAGAGAGAAAGAAACATCAATGTGAGAAAAATACATTGATCAGCTGCCTCCTGCTCGCTCCCTACTGAGGACCAAGCCAGTGCCCTGACCAGGAATTGAACCCAGAACTCTCAGTCTATGTGACGACACTCAATCCATTGTGCCACACCAACTGGGCAAAATGTGACCTTCAGTTTTTATCTTTATTCATTTGGGGCAATATAATCTTATTTATGAGGATGGAGATATACTTTCTTTTTAAAAAATTTATTTTATTTCTATCACCATTTATCCTCTCTATGCCCTCCTCCACCTCCACGCACCCACCTTCCCCCCACAATCAGCACACTGTTGTCCATGTCCATGAGTTCTCTTTCTCTCTTTTTTCCTTTGCCCAGTCCCTCCACGCCTCCCTTACCTCCCTCCACTCCACCACTACCAGAGCTGTCTGCCTGCTCTCTATGTATATCTGTCTCTATTTCGCTTGGTAGTTCACTTTGTTCATTAAATTCCACATATGAGTGAAATCATATGGTACTTGTCTTTCTCTGACTGGCTTATGATGCACTTTCAAAAAACCAAACCAAACAAGGTGTTTACAGCCAGATAAATCATAGTTAGAATTTCCCCAAGAAGCCTCTAGGTGGCAGCACAGCCCCACCAGTTTTAGCATCTGATTACCTCTGTCGCTCATTTAGGAGAAATTCTTGACTCTATTTCCATTATATCTTAAGAGTTATCATGATTTACCCTAAAACCAGTCTGTTAGGAAACAAACCTGATGAGGCAAGTTCTGTATTTCCTTCTTGTGGTTCTTCACCATCATTCTCATCTTCTTGGCTGTTTGGTTCCATTTCCTCCGTGGTTGCCTGAAAAAAAGATTTTTTTCCCCACTTGAATAAGTAATCCCTTTGAAGGTTCTAAAAGGTAGAGCATTTCTTTCTTTCTTTTTTTCAAATGGTAATATTAGGCCAACAGGGTGAAATGGCTACATGAATTCATTCTTTTCTGTTTCCTAGGCTTTCTGGTGGCTTTGCTGGGGGGAGGGCACAGCACAGCGGAGGGCACCCACTCCCGCTGCCCACCCCACTGCCCCTCTGACCCCCGCAGAGGCTCACCCCTTCCTCCTTCCCTTCACCACCCACTTTTCAAAATCCTAGTTACCACCCACCTGCTCCCAGATGCCTCTAAGGTTGGACTGGGGTCATATCACCAGTGGGGAGAAACAGTTTTTGTTAAGATTCCAATTAACTTCTCAGTAGCTTGTCTTCAGCATAGATGCCTGTGGCTCTTCCACTGTGGAATTTATTCTTGATGTGCTCTTCCTTCCTGCAACTCTATACCTGCGTTCTCATTTTCTCATTCTCTCTCTCTCCCCCCTCTGCCCCACCCCCTCCTCTCTCTTGCTCTCCCTTGACTTTCCTCTTACTGGTTCTTATTTCTTTTCTTTTCATACAAATATGGTAACTCCTAAAAGCTTCAGCTTTTTCCCTCCAACTGTGCTGAATCACCCTCAAATGTATCAGTTATTCCAATGGGTTCACCATTATGTTTTTTATCCATTTATGACTTGCACTTTCATCTCTAATCCTTAGGATCCACAGTTCAGCTGCCCTACCATCATTGTCATGGTAAATGGCTCACACTCAACCAGTAAATGTTACCCTCCAACAAGCCTTTCTTTCAAATTGGATGATTTCTATTTATGGCATTAATTTTCCCCATCACACAAATTAAACTTTGAAGTGTTTCTTAACTCACATCTTATGAGTGTCTGTCCATCATTAGCCAAGTCCTGCCAAGGTTCTAACACAATAGTTTTCATATCCATCTCTTCCTTTCCGTTTTTACAGCTAGGGGTTTCTCTGGTTTGGATCTTGCTGTCTAATTCACTTGGCACATCACCATAATGTTCGTCTCTCTCAGTAGTACCTCAACTGTATTAGTTTTATGCTTAATGGAATTTGTAACATTAAAAGAATTTGGAACAACCTAAATGTCCAACAATTAGGGAATGGTTGAATGAATTATCATGCAATCATAAAAGGGTGTTGAACAATAGTTAACAATATATGAAAATATTTATTATCGATTGTTAAGTTAAAAATGTAAGTTGTATATACATATGATGCCTACATATATGATTTTATATATGCTATGTGAATACACAATATTCCTGTTAATACATATATAAAAAGATAATAAAGAAATATATTAAAATGTTGTGTTTATTTTTAATGTGCTTAAATTTTGAATGACTTTTTCTTATTTTTAAATATATTTTCTGTATTCCAAAATGTTCTACAATGACCACATATGGCTTCTGTAATAAGAAACAAAACAAAATCAATGTAATTTTACATGATCTTTATTTGGGAGCCAGTTGATCCAGAGTGAATTCCAAAATTCTCCCATTGCTATTATAGCATTTGCTTAATAAAAGTAAATAAAAATTGAATTAAATACTCACTAAAATATATCTCAACAATCAAAGAGAACAAGTTAATGACTATTGTGTTTGCTAGTAATTGTGTTTTATTATAAAGGGCTACAGTTGAATTTTAAAGTGTGCATGAAATATTTTATAAATTTTAAAAGATTTTAAGATTTAGACTAAAATTGGTTTCAGAAAAGGCATTATTAAATACTTTATGAAATATCTCCATGCAATCTCAAAGAACTATGGATGTATTGATCTCTCAAAAGTATATACATTTTACCCACAAATCAAAATGTGCCTTTCAAGTAACCAAAATAAAAGCCTTTAAATTTAATGCACTAGTGGAAATGGTCATTAAATTATTAAAAAAAAAATAAAACTTTATGCAAGGACAAAAGAATGGCAACATATACAAATCAACAAATGTTATATTAATAGAATGAAAGATAAAAATTATCTGATCATCTCAATAGATGCAGAAAAGGCATTTGACAAAATTCAACATCTTTTCATGTAAAAACTTGTAACGAATTATAAATGTACCTCAAAACATTAGGTTTAGAAGAATGTACCTAAACATTATAAGTTCACAACCAACATCATACTTAATGATGAAAAGATGACAGCTTTTCCTTTAAAATCAGGAACAAGACAAGGGTGCCTATTCTCACAACTTCTATTCAACATAGTATGGGAAGTCCCATCAAGAGCAATTAGGCAAGAAAAAGAAATAAAAGTCATCCAAACTGGAAAGGAAAAAGTAAAATTGTTTCTGTTTGCAGATGACATGATCTTATATGTAGAAAACCCCAAAAAGACTGCATCAAAAACAAAAAACCCCATTAAAACAAGTAAGTGAATTAAGTTGCAGAATATAAAATCAACATATGAATAACTGAAAAAGAAATTAAGAAAACAATACCATTTACAATAGTGTCAAAAAGAATAAAATACTTAGGAAAAAATTAACAAGGGTGGTGGAAGAATCTGTACACTGAAACTATAAAACATTGATGAAAGAAATTGAAGAAAACATGAATAAATGGAAAGATACATTGTATTCATGGGTTGGACAAATTAATATTGTTAAAATAGCCAAGCTACTCAAACAATCTACAGATTCAGTGCAATCCCAATCCCTATAAAAATTCCAATGGTATTTTTCACAGAATTAGAAAAAACACACCCTAAAACTACAAAAGACCCCAAATAGATAAAGCAATCTTGAGCAAGAAAAACAAAGCTGGGGACATCACACTTCCTGACTTCAAACTATACTATCAAGCTACAGTAATCAAAACAGTATGGTACTGGTATAAAAAGAGACACATAGCTCAATGGAACAGAACAGAGAGCCCAGAAATCAACCCACACTTTTACAGTTAATTATTTTTGACAAAGGCAGCAAGAATACAAAAGGGTAGAGCATCGTTTCTTTATAAATGGTGCTGGGGAAACTGAATATCCACAGGCAAAAGAATAAAATTGGGCTCTTATGTTACCCCATACCAAAATAATAATAATAATAATAATAATAATAATAATAATCAGTGTTTAAATGAAGTAAAAACTTAAATGTAAGACCTAAAACTCCTAGAAAAAAATGGGGAAACTCCTCAGTATTGATCTTGGAAATTATTTTTGGATTTGACACCAAAAGCAAAAATAAACAAATGGGATTACATCAAACTAAAAAGTTTCTGCATAGCAAAGAAAACAGTCAACAAAATGAAAAGGCAGTCTACAGAATAGTATAAAATATTGGCAAATCATATGTTTGATAAGGGGTTGATATCCAAAATATATAAGAAACTCTCAGAATTCAATAGCAAAAAAATAAAATAACCTAAATAAAAAATGGCAAAGGACTGGAATAGACATTTTTCCAAAGAAAATACACAAATGGCCAAAGTATATGAAAAGATGCTCAACATCATTCATCATCAGAGAAATCAAAACCGCAATGAGATACCACCTCATACCTGTTAGGAATGAGTATTATCAGAAAATTAACAAATATCAAGTACTGGTGAGGATGTGGAGAAGGAAGCCTGTATATTCATGATGGGGATGTAAATCGGTACAGCCATTATGGAAAACAGTACGGAGGGTCCTCAAAAAATTAAAAATAGAACTATTTTATGATCCAGCTATCCCACTTCTGGGAATATATACAAAGGAAATAAAATCAGTAACTCAAGAGATATCTGCACACCCATGTTCATTGCAGCACTATTCACAGAGCCAAGATGTGGAAACAAACTAAATGCTGAAGGATGCATAAAGAAAATGTGAGCTATATAGATATAAATATACATATTATTTATGTATATACACATGTAATTTATATATTTTATACATACATAATACTTATATACTACATATAAATATTAATATTACATGAACTGTATCATTCGTCTCTACACACAAATATACATATATACTATACACACACAATGGAATATTATTGAGCCTTAAAAAAGGAAATCCTGCCATTTGTGACAACATAAATGAAGCTGAAGAACATAAGCCAGGCACAAAAAGACAAACATTGCTTGATCTCAGTTAAATGTAGAATCTATAAAATTAAAAATTAAAAAAGCCAAACTCCTAATAATAGAGAGTAGAACAGTAGTTACCAGAGCCTGAGGCATGGGAAGAAAGGGGAGGGAAAAAAGTAGAAAGGCCACTGTCAGGGTCTGGAGGAAGGGTCCATGGAGTTATTATTGTTTGTTAATCGTCACCTGAGGATATTTTTCCATTGATTCCCAGATAGAGGGGAAGGAATGGAGGGAAGGAGGGAGGGAGGGAGGGAGGGAGGGAGGGAGAGAGAGAGAGAGAGAGAGAGAGAGAGAGAGAGAGAGAGAGAGAGAGAGAGAGAGACACAGCAATGTGAGACAGACACATCGATTGGTCGCCTCCCACACAACCCTTACCGGGGCCAAAGACAGAACCCGCAACCCAGGTATTGGCACCGTCAACCGGGAATCGAATCCGAGACCTTTTGGTCTGCTGGACAACATTCCAACTGCTGAGCCAAACTGGCTAAGGCGATATTTTAAGGGTAGAGAGTTTCAGTTTGCAAGATGAAAAGAGTTGTGGAGACGGATGGTGGTGATGGTCGCACAACAGTATGAACGCACCTAATACCACTGAACGCACACTTCAAGTGGGGAGGACAGTAAATGCTGTTGTGTATTTTACCACAATGAAAGATCTAGGGAAAAAATCACTGTTAAAATAATTATTTGCAAATTTTTTAAGTATAAAATTGCACAACTTTAAGATGTTTTTCAAGCTTCTAGAAGATTTTACAACAACATCTAGTGGCAAAGAAGTGCCTTTTCTTTTGGAGGATGAGGTGGTTTTAAAATCTTCATAATTAGATGGGCATTTTTAAATGATGTATAACCATGTATCAATTCTGGA